CATGGAGAATTCCGCATTGGAGTTGGAGACCGACAAATGGGCGCACAGATTAAAGAGAAATCCTTCCTTTCTTGCCCAAGGGGTTTGCGCTTGGAAAGGGAGCTGAGGGGTGGGGAGCTGGGGAAAACAAAATAAACAAAAAGCCCACTGCTACTCCGAAGACCCCCACAAGGCATTCGTAACTTCTGAGCTGTCTCCTGTCTTGGGAGCACATGTCTCCTCCTTTTTCTAACCTGGACACTACCTGGCCTATGCCTGGTCGACCAGGTCCGGGTTTCCTGAGGCTTTGCTCCTTTACCGCTACCTGCCACCCACCTCCCCCCACCTCTCGTACCCAGCTCTTCACTAGGCGATTTGGAGGGTGACGTGAGCGCTGTCTTGGAATAGCTTTTAACCCAAAGGGGTTTTGGTGATGGAGAAGCGATGCCTGCCCAGGAGTACAGACAGGGAAGGTGGGAGATGCAGGGCATAGGACTCCGGCCAAGATTATTTCACTGAGGGGTGTCTTCCAGCCTCCGTAGGTCTCAAAGTTTCTGTCGCCCAAAGGAATCTACAGCCCCAGACACCGCTGGGCACAGACATGCCAGTCTCTATTTGCCTCATCCAAGCACCCACCCTCTCAGTGGCACCAGTGCGTCTGCCCCCTCTGCCTGAGCCTTCTCTATTAGGACTCTAATCATGCTGGCCCCTGGCTCACAGCCAACCCCAGTGGACCTCAGCCCAGGGCGAATCGCCCATATTTAAAACTTTGGAGGTAGGAAGGGGTCCTCCCCAGCGACTGGGTCATAGAATAGTTTCCGGAGGCGTGGACCTCCAACATGCACCCTCACCCCGGCGGACTGGCACCTACATACATGAGCTCAGGACGCAGGAGGGACGCCGGGCTCTAGCGGGCGCGGCCCCGGGGCTCCAGTGCCCATCCTGGGACTGGCCGGGCACCAGCGCAGGCGGACCGCGGAGAGCACAGTCCGACCTTAGCGCTCTGCCCGGCACGTGCACCCGACTAAGGCATCTGACCCAGCCGGTTCATCCCGTAGCCGGTGGCCGGTAGCCTCGGCCCCAGTCCTGTCAGAACCAGCGCCACCTTCCGCCGCTCATCCTCGGTTCTGGTCTGGTCCCTGAGTCTCCAGCACGAAGAGCTCCCTAGAGGGCCGCTGAAGCGCAGCCTAGCTCTCCCCGCTAGGCCGGCAAGGAATTTCTCCAAACTGAGCCGCGGGGATGGGTAGGGGAGCTGCTGCTCCCAGGAAGAGAGAAGCAGCTCTGAGCGCGCCCGAAGGACCAATGGGACGCAGGCTGGCTGGGAGCCCGCGTGCCCGCCGCCTGCCTCCTGTCGCAGCTGCTTGGCGCGGGGCTCGCACTCCGCTCCCTCCTCCGCTGCCCACGCTTGCTAGGCGTCGCCACCGCGGCCTCCGCTGCCCTTGGTGGGTGGGAGGCCCCCGACGCACGCGCTGGCGTAGCCACTGATGCTCAGCCCACCTGTCAGCAGCTCTCAGGCTTCCTTTTCAGTCTTGTCACTCACTCCCCTCTGGACTTTTCATCTTGGCTTTTCTGCTTTCTGTTTATGTTTTTCTTTAAAATCCTTTCTCCTAATTGGCCCCCTCCGACTTTGCTCTCTGTGGACAGACAGATTGCTTTTGCTGCTGTTGGAAACGTAAACCAAACTGTTGAGTTTGGAATTCCGCGGAGGCATTAATACAGACTGTTTGGGGGAGGTTTATTCCACCTTTACGTTCAGAAACCCAGAGGTACAGAAGAGGAAGAGGAAGGAACTGGAGGATATCAAACAGCACACACTCTGATTCGCTAGCGCTGAGGCCACCACAGCTGCTGCTGCTGTTGACTTGTTTCAGTGCTGGAGTGGTAAGCAAATCTGTTAGCTCCAGTCTGCTCCTGAACCCGGAATCTGCTGCTTTTCTTGGACAAGATAATAAAGGCCAGTGGTATCTGTCCAAATTTATCTCTGAAGTGGGATGTTTAAATAATATTTTCTGGACAGTTATTACTCTCCATGCCAAGGTCGATCAGATAGTTACACATAACTTCACAGGGTCAGGCCCTTTGCTGGGAGTAAGGACTACTACCTAAGGATTAATTATTTTCTCCAACCTCTGTGTTGATGATCAGCCGAGGTTTAAATGGAGAGACCTGAAAGGACAGGGCCTGGGAATTCCCTATGAAATCAACCATACACACTGACAAAAATGTAGGGCGTTTCCAGGCTCAGGATGATCCCATCCTTCTGCTTCTGCTGCAGCCACGACTCTTGTCACCTTCAGGGAAACCGAGCTATCTTTGCCTGTGGGGCTGCTGCCTTCCCTACAGCGATTCCCTGCTCCTTGTTGGCTGCTCGTCAATCATAACTTCTGGGGCTGTTATCGCTAACTGCTCCACTCATGAAATAGCTCAAGCTTTACCAAGTGTTTTTTTCTCCATTCGGTTATTGGTGGGAACCTCACCCCCCTATACACTTTCTAGGACTATGTAATGATATGTGTGAAGAAGCACAACTGAAAAAGCAAGGGTCCAATGGAAGGAATGAAGATGTTTTATTTGCCTCACCTTGATCCCAATGAGCATGTTTTGTCTTTCACTGACCCAATCCCTTTGAACCTGGATGGATATGTGACTTGTCCCAACCTCCTGATCATAATGTAGGGATATTAATATGAGCATTCAAGCTTGCAAGAAGAGGCTTGTCAAGCAAGGACTGGTTATGCCACCATGTGTCCAAACTGGGCTTTTTCAGCTGATACTCTGAAATAGTGCATTAGGGAAGATAAGATGAAGGAACAATGCAGTTTCAGAGGAAACCCCTTCATTGCTGAATAAGAACAATGTCCAGGCAGCTTTGTTAGTCCAATGTCTGTCTTAGGGTTTCTATTGCTGTGATGGAACACTGTGACTAAAAGCAACTTGGGGAGGAAAGGGTTTATTTCACTCATATCTCCACATCGCAATTCTTCATTGAAAGCAGTTAGGGCAGGAACTCAGACAAGGCAGGAACCTGGAGGCATGAGCAAGTGCAGAGGCCATGGAGGAGTGCTGCCTGCTGGCTTGCTCCTCTTGGCTTGCTTAGTCTTCTTTCTTATAGCACTCAAGACCAATAGCCAAGGGGTGGCACTAGCCACAATGGGCTGCTCCCCTACACCAGCCACTAATTAAGAAATGTCCTACAGGCTTGCCTACAGCCTGATCTTATGGAGGCATTTGTTTTTCAATTGAAGTTTCCTCCTCTTGGATGACAAAAACTTATATCAACTTGAAATAAAAACCAACCAGGACAATTGACCGCTTGTCAAGTTGACATACAAATATATCACTTTTCATCTAGAACTTTCTTTTCTCATTTCCCCCAGGATGGGATGTTAATATTTCAATATAAGACAAAAATAACTGAAATTCTGTAGTTTTTACATGTAGCATGAATAATATAAACCTAGAGACAGATATTGGTGTTCAAACTGAAGATCAGATAAGCAAAACAGCCAACCACTAGAGAGTTCTTACCTCTACCAAGGCTGGGGCAATCCTGTCCTCAGAGTGGCTGGAGACTGAATGCCACATGAGACCCTGAGCTCCTATCTTATTTACCTCTCTAGTGCTGGGATTAAAGGCGTGCACCACCACTGTCCAGCCTCTATGGCTAACTAGTGTGACTGCTGGGATTAAAGTTGTGTGGTACCACTGCCTCACCTCTATGACTGTGGCTAGCTTTGTTTTCTGATCTTCACGCAGGCATTATTAGATCATAAACAATATGTCACAACATTTACAAATTCAAATACCTTAAAAATTCAGTTTGTTTAAAATAACTGATTCCTTTTAGAATTCAAAGTATCTCTAGAAATGCAGTCTCTATAAAACTCTAAAACCTCAAAGTCTCTTAAATGTGGGCTCCTATAAAATCAAATAAGTTGAATACATTCTTATTCCAAGAGGGAAGAATGAGGGCACAGTACAAAGCAACACCAAATTCTGAGAGTGTAAAGTCAGACTTCTGGGACTCATTCACACTCTTCTGGATCTTTCAAAGGGTTTGGGCAGCCATTCTTCGCACACATAGCTTGTCTGCTAGGTTCCAGTCTGGCTGCTTTCTACATCTGCTCCGGCTCCTGGTGGTTGACCCATGATGTTGGCATCTCCAAGATGCCAAAGTCTCCACTACAATTGGGTTGCACCTTCACTAATAGTCTGTCTTGGACTTTCTTCAGGGACTCTGACAATGCCACTTGTGTCAAGCTTCAACTTCTCTCCATAACCCCTTCAATTCTGGGGCTTTGGCTGCAACTGAGGTGGCACCTTCACCAATAGCTTCTCCTGGACTCAGTTACTCTCTAGGATCCTTTCACACCTTCAAAATTAGCACTGTCTGGTGACTCTTACACTATCAAGTTTGGCTGCCAGCATGAGGAGCAGTCTTGGCTGCCTCTGGGTCACAGCTTTTTTGTGCGGACTCTGAGGAAAGAGTTCCTCAGAAGATTTTTGTCTCAGTGATGCTGATCCCTTAAACAAGGTTTATTTCTTCCTTGCAGATGACTAGCATCAATTATTCCAGGAATGCAAAGGTTTCATTTCAGTGATGCTGGTCTCTTATTGTCCCACAGATTCTTAATTAAAAATAGTAAATTATTTGGATAGAGTCTTTAAACTTCCCTCTAAAAATTCATAAACCAGACCACCATCATCTACATCTCTCTCAGCATTCTTATTTTCTTAGCTTTCAAAGAACAGCTCATTGGTCTCTGAACATTCAATGTCTTTTCCAGCCCAAACTCCAAAAGTCCTTCCACAATCCTCTCCAAAACATCATGGTCAGGTCTGTCCCAGCAATACCCCCTAACAGCAATACCCCCTTACAGCAGTAACCATTTACAATACCCCTTATAGCAATATACCCTTACAGCAATGCCCCCTTCAACAATGCCCCCTTATAGTAACACCACTTTACAACAATACCCCTTAAAACAATCCCCACCTTACAATAACACCCCCTTACAACAACATCTCTTTACAGCAATACCCCCCATTGGGGTCCATAAAATGTCTTTGCGTCATCTTGACTTGAGGTCAGAAAGTTAAAAAATATCCTTATTCTTCCAAGGTTAAAGTCATAAAACCTAAAGGTCTAAGGTGTAGATGTCTTATCTAAATAACAAGAGACTTGGTCTAAGGTATGGTTACTCTTAACCCACAAGGTCAGATGACGAGGGATTT